CGTATGCCATTTTCTACCGCGAACTTCTCATTTGAAACGACAGCGTTTAGTGTAATCTTTATAATAGTAAAGTTGTATTTATTGACCGCATCTGTTCTGGTTATACTCGTTGCATGCAGTACTGAGTTATATAGTTACCCCAAAGATCAGAACTTTTCTCACTTTTTGAGCCATCAATCTTATATGCCCTTCGAGGCTACGTAGCGTACTTTTCGCAAATCTCTCAGTATGATATGATAGATCGAGTTAATGGGTAGAAGAGTCAAGATTGCTTGACATTATCTGCGAGGTATACAGAGTATATATTCTACACAGGGGATAATTCTTGTGCACTACAACGAGAGACTGATTCTGTTTTGTCACGTCAAAGCAGGAGAGTACAGATGCTGCAGGAAATTAAAGCAGATGTATCGCAATTCTAATGAACTCTCTCGAGTAGTTGATATATTTTATTTATCGAAGGTCATTTGGACATTCTACGATAATCCAAGTATTGCCTATCAGTAAGCTAATTGTAAAAAAAAAAATGCAAAGAATGGTTTGTCTGAGGGCGCGGTCTCAGCAGCAGTTATAGATAACCAAATCCCTACAATGGCATCCCGCGCGTGTTATCGTGAGGTTTGTTTATATTGGATTCTATTAACCAGAAGCACTATTCCTAAACGGAGGATGATACGTGGACCCACATCACCTGATGGTATGCTTAAATAGGAAAGTAACTGAAGTGGTACCAGACTGAAAATATAAAGATAATATTTTTGGTTGATTTAAATAACTTTATTGTATTTTTTTTCAACATTTTTCAGTGATACATTTCATTATTTTTAACCACGTCTTCCAAAAAAGTAAAAAATTTTTAAGCTGTAATTAAACTAACCACAGGACATTTTATTTATGCATTAAGATATGTCTCTTCGAATATTATATATTACTTTCATTGATATAAACTATAGAACGATGTAATACAGATAGACGAGACTCGTGTGGATCCACAGAAGAAATTTCAAGTTAGTCAGTTATATTATTTTGTGGGACATATGAGATATTATTTTAGAAATTGAGTTAAACCAGCGAACCACACTGGCTGGACTGGACATCTGACACTGGCAAAAACGTGGGCCAGAAAAATTTATCATAAGGGACCCCCCCCGACTTTCTAAAATTTATCGTGGGGGACCGTAAAGACCACGGCCGATTTTTTTAACCCCAGTCCAGCCATGGAGGGGATAAAAATTTTTGGGAGAGAAAAAAAATGAAGTGAAAGGAATGAGCCCTGACTACAATCTGTTATTTAAAGTATGAACGTACTTCATACATTACAAGTATGAAAATAGCACATTTGTTGTGGGTAACATATAGCAAAAAATATACACAGATGACTAAATGTATTTTTTTAAAGCAATAATCCCACCCACCTGTCTAAAAATATATTAACATAAACAGCAACATTTTTAACACTGTTAGCCTGTGGTACGTTTGTGGTGTGCTGACTTGATGAAGCTGTGCAAAGCTTTAATTGACTGTCATGGTAAAGGCAATAAGCAGAAATGCATCTCAACTGTAAACCGTAAAAGAGTTTTAGTCGTGACTCATATTCCTGACTGGTGTAAATGTGGATCTGGATATTTCAGCTGGCCGGTGCAAAAGGATCGATGCACATTAGTCAGGCAAAATGCTTTTTTTTTTTACTCCACAACAATAAAGTATAAGTTGATGCTAAAGGTTTACATCAGTCACTGAAGTGGACATAAGGTGTTTTCAAAAGTATGCAGATTCATTCTACAAAAAGATTAGTCAAAATGCTCATAAAGCCATCAGATTGAGATTAAGATCATACATTTGACTGGAAGAAGATTGGAGCTTCAACTATATCTTCTTTGTGCAAACCGTCTTGGTGCCTCCCTTTACAAAGGTGTGAGTTAACCCTAAAGGTCGGATTTCCTGTTACCAGAAACAGGTGGCATGTCACTCTTGCGTCCAGAGGTTGTTCAAAACCCTGCAGTCACAACATCATAGTGAATCAGAACAGTGCTGTTTGCTAACAGCTCCTAGTAGCTATAGTCTTGAATGAGTGGGATGGACTCATTCAATGGGTGAGGTTCCAGATAGATGGAAAACTATTTTGGATGAAGGAACCTAGGCTAAATCTTGACCATAGTGTTCAACTTTTGGGTATTGGTATCGCCCTGAAGCTAATATGAACAGACAAGTTTAACAATGAGATCATGCAGTGTTCCTGTAAAGAGTATGCTCTCCTCTGCAGGACTCTGGGCAAGAACAGTTGTGATCTTAAAGCCTTAAATATATCCCACAGTTACTTTGCTGTCTCAGAGTAGCTATTAATGCATTGTTCATAGGTGTAGCATGGGAAACATTGGCATTCTAGAAATAAATGCCATACATCCCTCTTACAACCCTTTATACAGTACAGGGTCACGAGGCACAAAAAAACTAATTTTGACAAATGTTCAAGTAATGTAACGCTGGACATTCTGTATCGAGGTTGTGAAATTTCCTGCTTTTCATAATCCAACACACCACAAAATTAACTTCCCTATTTTATGGACAGTCACAGTCATCGTCAAACATCCCTTTTATGCGTTCATCATTGGTATAGTTGCCAATCGAGTCGAAACTCATGGGCCAGCAGATCTTAAAGCTCAGGAGGACAGTTTTATCCCACCTTGTCTTTCGGGCATTTTAACTCCTTCTGGTTAGGGCTGTTTCCACCAGTGTCCCAGGATGACAGCACATGTGCTCACTTCCTCTCCCATGCAGCTCTTCCCCCAGGAGGTATGAAACACAAAATCCCGTACCACTACAGTATATGGTAAAAGCTTATTCAATGTAATGGAAGCCAAATTTCTGGCAGGTAATGAGTGGAACTAAAATATCTGGTCTCAGCTAGAATAGCCCGACTGCCCTCTCTGGGGTTGTAAACAGTATGGATGTAACAGATCGCCTCAGTGAGCGGAGATATCCCCCAGATATCACTGAGCAGTGATACCCCCCCCCCACTGATATCCCCCCAGCTGCATAGTGACATTCCAGAGATGTTGCCAAGCGCTCGGTGATACATCTACAAGCTGCTATCTTTCACCGTTTCCATGTTTGGAGTCTACACCAAAGCTATAGTCAGTCACGCCATACACTTCATATTTGTTCTGCTGTTCTTGAATGTTCTGGTGTAGTGGTATAGCAGTGGGCACCGGGGGAGTAGTCGTATTCCTCTTAATGTTAGCTGTGTTATGAGTCACAAGACCGTGTCACAGAGCGTTTCACTGAATGGCAGGGCTGTTTGTCGCAGGGCTTGTTTCTTCCTTTTGTCAGGCGGTGGAGGATTGTAGGTGGCTTTTCTCCATTGACACGCCAGCCACGTCAGAACCCGTGTCAGTGGTGAAGGTAGAGACCAAAGAGTCTTACTGACGCATTACAAAGAACTGGGAACAACTGCTTTGGTATTTTTAATGCGGATTGGTTTCGCAGATGGAGTAGAGGCAGGAAAAGTGCTTTTCCCGCTAGTGGCTCAGTCAAACCAGCAGGCTTATCAGGTTACTTCACTCCTTGACTGTTGTGGCAGTACAGTTGCACCATTGTAAAGACCTTAGAAAACGCTACTAAACAAACAGGAAGCTACAAATGAGGGGCGTGGCCAGCTGGGGCTCATTATTTATTTTTTTTGTTAGCATCTAGCTAACAAATTCCTCACATAGCCCTGTGCCAGTGAGTCAGGTCATGGTAAGTCAGCTTGGGACGCCTGGAAGATATGGCTTCATGACTATGACACCAGCAAAGGTAGACGACCTGCCTTGGCTAAAAACAATACATCAGATGCGCACTTTTTTAACTGATGTTTGTCACTTTGTGTAAAAGGGATTTCTGAGCAAACAGAAGACGAAACTCCAAACCGAGAGGGGGGGGGGGGGTTGGCATAATCATGTCCATCTGTTTGTTTGCTTTTGAAAAACTCTGATATAACGGTTCATGTTAAAAACACAGACATTTGGGCTTTTATCAATAATGTTTTATAGGCTTGTATTAAATCACCTGTAGGCAGGAGCCTACAAGTGATTGGCCGCGCGCCGGCCATGCCCCCCCCCCCCCCCCACACACACACACACACAC